CGCTCTCTCCAGGATGGCCATCATGGGTGTGTGGGGGACCAAACAAACATTGTGTTTCTTCCCAAAGAAGTGTTTCCACAGATGGTTCACCTGGAGACCAACTTTTCAGTTCTAATGGAAAAACATGATAATCCAGAAACAGGGTAACATTACAATTAATGGAGTCAGAATTATATGAGTTTGATTTCACTGAACATTGATTTCATAAGAGCAAAATGGATTTTTTGAAGACTCACTCCTATGTCCTCAGTGCGCTGAGCAGTTCTTGATACATAGCGCTGAATAACGATTCCTTGAAAAAATGAACAAATGGATGGGTCTGTGAAAAACTGTGTAACTCCAAGAAGTTACTTAATTTTAATGTCTCTGAGCTTCGTTTTTTGCATGTGTAAATAATTTCAGGATTAGTAAAAGCCATCAAAGATGAGATGTATGTGAGAAGACATTGAATATGCACTCAATATAAACAGTTGTTGCTGAGACAACGTGGTCCTACAGATTGCCATCAAAGCCTCCTATCTACATGAAAACAGGCGTATCATGTTATCCTTTGGAGACATCTGTGCAAATGCCTTGATGTCCCCTGGCAATTTTCAGAATGACAAGTAGATGCATGAGGGAAGCAAATTATTGCTCTTTATTCATGGGAGTCAGTGCATTTCAAATCCCCTTGTGATTTTTGTCAGCAGCCCCTCTAGATGAGAAACTTTCTCACAAGCCAGTGGTGGTAGGAAAGCAACGTGACTGTTCATAGGAAGAGCCTTAAAATGGCTTAAACCCTTCAGTCCTGTGATTCTCCTATTGGGATTAGTCCTAAAGAAAGAACCACAGGTGCAGTCACAGATGTATGCACTGGAATATTAATTACATCATTATTTCTATATAGTCAAAAATGCTGAAATCCCTTTAGTATCCAACAATATGATAAATTCAATGGGTGCATTATTATGCAGCGATTAAAAATCATGACATGGAAAATGTTCAGGACATTTTGTAAAATACAAAAAAATAATAAGATACAATACTGTATATTCTTGTATTATCCCACTTTTATTTGTAGAGCATATTAATATATGCTTAGATAAAGGACCAAAAATGAGCTTACGGTGGTAGAATTATGGGCAATTTTTACTTGCTTTAATTTTTTTCTATAGACAGCACATTTTCACAGGATAATCATTTGCTAATAATCAGACAAGATGTCATTAGAAAATATAATATAGAAGTCATAGGACTTCCAGAAGATTATAGTTTCTTCTCCAAGTGTAGATGAATGAGGCTTTCCTCACTTTCCCTAAATCTGGGAACTCGCCTGCTTATTGGATCCTTTGTCTTAGAATGAAGAGAGCCTCATGAAGAAATGCATACTGAGATGTTTAAGCCTTATTGGGCTTGTTGACTTGAAAATATTATCACTTCAAAATGATACCAGGAGAAAATAATTTTTACTGTTAAATGATTTGATGATAGTCATAATAAAGCCTCAGTAGGAGAACTATTGCAGACCACAGACATTTGGAGTGTATTTCAAATAAGACTCCGAGACAGACATTGCTAGCAGGTCACCAGATATGTGCTGACAGTGGAAATGATCTCTACCGCTTCAAGACCTGACCCATAAACACCTCCCCTGCACAATCCAAATACTCTTTTTCTCCTTCTGCATGAGACAGTCACAGAGAATTCAGGAGCCACACGTTGAAGATAGCCAGAGTAGCCTCTGTTCCTTAATGACTCTGAGGAGAAGAACCATCAGCTGATCTGTATACCTACCCAAGTCTGTTAGATGAGCATTCTTTTAAATGTATGACAATTTAGGGGGCTGCTTGTTACAGCAGCAGGAAATAACCTACCTCATAGGCTACACCGTTTATTGTGTACACTTAGCTGTACACATGGCCTGGCCAAATTTCATTCTTCATGAACAGGTGGAGATGCCACTTTAGTGGATAAACCACTCTCTGAAAGAGGTGAGGAGAAAGTGAGAGGCGAGGCCGTTGGTGCCATTTTAAAATCTAGAGTCTTATAGAATTTATGAATGTTTCTCACATGAAGGTGGTAAAATGCTTTGGTTTCCCATATGAACTCTTTAGAATACATAAAAGATCACACTCTCTGGATTATTATTTTTGTCTTGTTTTGACTTTTCTTCTTCTATTTGTGGTTAGGCCCCATGAGGGCAAGACCTTTGGCTTGTTTATTGCTGATGCCCCAGTTCCTAGAACAGTTGCTAGAATAATAAGCATATAATATATATTGGTTGAAGATGTAATTTAATGTAATGAATGTGAGGTGGATTAAAGACAAACTCACCTGGTGAAACTTACCACCCTAATACTTAACCAGGGGCTTTCAGTTGGCAGAGAAAGAATTTTTGTCTGATACAGACATGTGACAAAACCTAAAACAAACACAAATGCGATGGTTCATCTCTACATTTTATTTCACATTATGAGATACGTTTATCAAATGCCTCAAGAGACCAAAGGCAGCTGCCAAGTTTGCTGAGTGCCCAAGTCCCTTCACTTCCCGTCTTTATCTCTTGCTAGAGTCACTAACTCTGAGGCAGGGTTCCAGCTCCGACCTTGCACAAATTCACTACCTGATGGCAGACAGCCATCTATTTGCCCTCTTCTCACTATCCCAAGCAGATGGCTCTGAGTTAAATAGCCCATAAATTACAATTTCCATGTGTGAGATGATCCAACTACAAAGTGCTTACTTGCTGTAAAATTGGTTTTGTTGCTGCCAACTAGATAGTTATTTAGCCAAAACTTTGGAGTGATTAGCTATATACATGCCATCTTCTTTCCTTTTTGGAGTTGCAGCTATTGAGTGTTCATTTGTTTATGTATTAGTCAGGGGTCTCCCCAAAAAAGGGAATCAATAGACGTGTATATGTAGAGAAGGGGATTTCTTTTAAGTAATTGACTCACACTGTTGTGGAGGCTTAACCAGTCCAAAATCTGGTGTGTGTGTGTGTGTGTGTGTGTGTGTGTGTGTAGGGGGGGAGGGGATGGACAGATAACCTGGAGACTCAAGAAAGAGTTGCAGCTCAAGACCAAAGGCAGTCTTCTCAAGATTTCCCTCTTGCTCAGTGGAGATCAGCCTTTTGTTCTATGCAAGTCTTGAACTGATTAGATTAGGTCCACCCACATTATGGAAGGGAAACTGCTTAACTCAAAGTCCCCTGATTTAAATGTAAATCTTATCCAAAAACAACCCGACGAAACACCCAGAATATTGTTTGTTCAAACACTTGGGCCTCATGGTCCAGACAACTTGACACATACAATTAACCATCACAGTTTGCTTACTTACGTTTTTTGCTCATTTGTTTTGCATGTCATTTCTTTGCTCCAATTCTCTTAGGTTCTTGGGGTCATTATTTCCACGAGGCTGACATAATCCAAAACTTATGGTGACCTGGAAAGTCCTAAGCCCACATTGAAGTTCTCCCAGTGTCTAGCTGAGCAAGTGAGTTCTTTATCACAGAAACTCCAGCTCTGCCTTTGTGAAGGGAGATACCTAAGTCATAGGTTTATTGTAACAAGTAAGTGGGAGAAATATACACTGAGAAGCTCTCTAAACACAAGCTCACCTTAAAACTATTGTTTTAAATTGTGCTTATGTATCAGAGCTCCTACCTTTCAAATCAATGAATGAGAAAATAGAAAATACCTTACGTGAAGTACACTACAGTTGTAAGTAACTGCCTCATTGGAATAAAGAAAGATTAAATTAATAAATCAACTTTGTCCATGAATGGACAATGATTTTAAGGGTTAAAAGAAGCTTTAAAGACCACAACAGATGTTTATTAGAAATCCCAGGAACAGTGCCAAATTTAAAGTACACAGGATATTCATCCGTAAACTCAAGGTAGTTACCACACCCCTGATTTTCCCCCTGTGCATCCTGGGAATTTCCCAGGTAGTTTGGAGGTACTGTGATAGGTGGCTCAAGGGAACTCAGTTAAGAGGAGACTGTTCATGAGAAGCTACTCAAAAGGCCAAAGCTCATGGTTTCCTCACCTTAAATGTACAATTAGCATCCCACATGTGATTTGATGCTGCATTATTATGTGATTGTCAGGCTCCACTGGTCCAGGAGTCGCCACTCTTCAGATTTCTGGCCCAGTTTTTCTTAGAACTCCAAAGAGTGGGGGAAGCTTTGCCCACACCTCAGTCTAAGACCCACTTGTTTAGTCCTCATTTTCTGCACCAAGGCAGATCCTTTCTAACATTTTAGATTTCAGTTCCTTTTTTTAGAAAATGCCCCATTCACTCGCAGAGGAGCAGCCTTGTTCTGTGGTCCCACCACGTCAATAGTCCGACATTCATGGAGTTCCCAAGGTCAATATCCAAGAGTCTCAAATAACCCCACCCATGGGATGAAAGTGGGAATTCATTATGTTCAGGCCTGTTTCTTTTCAGACCTTCCTCTACAGAAATTCAAAAAATCTTGGGGTCCTGTCTCATTCAAGGTCACTTGTTACATACAAAGTTATTGTGTACTTCTGAACACACTTTTAACAGAAATGAGTAACTATTCCCGGTTGAAACTTCTTGGGCCACCTTAGGCTGAAAGGAAGCACACCATTTTGTCACTGAACTAAAGATTATGTGGGTCCAGCAACTCTGCAGAGGACAAAGCACCAAGATCCAGCAAAGACCATGTGATAAGCATCTTGCAATATCCTTGCTTAATGAAAATCAATGTAGTTTCCTCTTTCCTCTTTGAATTCTTACAAGCAGCAGTGCGTTTTTGACTGTCAGACTAGCTTGGACATTTATATGCAAAGATGTTTACATCAGCAGTTCCTTCTGTGAGAGCTGGGACAGGAAACTTTATTGTGTGCTTTTTACACTCTTTGCAATAATGGATGGGTGGTTGGCTTTTTTGGCACAGCTTTGCATCGTAGACAGTTGTTTAAAAATGTACCAAAAATTAGTGTTCTGAACACTTTGCTCAAACTGCTTCTCTACCACTTTCCCTAGGAATGCCCCAGCGGTGTTGTTAATGAAGACACCTTCAAAGAGATTTACTCACAGTTCTTTCCACAGGGAGGTAAGTGAGAATGTGGGCTTGATAATGTACTCTCAGTTAGAATTATGCTTGCAATCTTTTTCTTTTCCCTCCACGCGATGCCACACTGGCCTGGGGGAGGGGCACCGTGGTAAACATATAGCGGCGCCTCTTACTCTTCGTGTGCACCCTCTCGTGGTCTCTGTGGGGCAGCGGGGAGCTTCAGCCTCATCCCCATGTTCTAGGGTTTTCTCAGTGGCTTTTGCTCATGAATAATTACTAGTCATTCTCCCTGTGAAGGGGAGTGAGGTTGACAGTGACCCACGTCACCATTTGGTGACGTCACTCTCTTCGTGTGTTGATCTCGTTACCACTACCTTGCTGGACTACTTATGCTTGAGTTTGGTTTAGTCTTTCACGACATGATGCTACATGTTTGATCTTTATGTAAAAGTATTAATATACAGCACGTCAGCGCATATGATTTTCAATATATCGGTAAAGTAAGCTACTAACAAATGGTCAAATATCTGAGTTCACGCTTCAGTTTAGCACAACAAACAGTGTTTCTCTGTGCCTAGTGCTGTGGCTCTCAGATGCACAGCACTTCCTGACTAGGTCCTGGGTAGGGCACAAAGCTTTCATATGCATTGTAGGTTTCATTTGAGCCTCCTAGCTCTCAAAATTAGGACGAATGTAATTATCCTCAATTTACGGATGTGAAATCTGGGGCTTCGGGAAGTTAAATGGCTTGCTCAGGGCCACATACCCATTGCATGGCAGATCTGGGTTCGAACCTAGATTTGTTTGCAGCCTCACATCCTGTTCTTTTGGCCGTTTCTCTCCCTTTGAGTTACTTTTTCCTATGACCCACCCAACCCCACCCCTGTATCTGAGAAAATTAATACCACTCTAGATATTATTTTAATTGGAAAGAAAACAGGAGAGTATAACGATAATGCATATATGTTGGAGATGAGTGAAGAGATATACTGACCACTGGATCCTATCGTTTCTCCTTCAGTCACCCAACAGGATGCCCAGATCAAACTTGCCACACAGGCCAGCTGTGTGTTAAGTGCTGGTAATGTAAGAGGAATAAGATGTGGTGTCTGCCCAAAACAATGTTGCATTCTAGTGCGACAGGTGGTCAAGGTCAAAATAAAGTATAAGGGCCGGCTGAGTGGCACGATGGTTGGGAACTGGCTTGGGATGCCAGAGGACCCCGGTTCGGATCCCACATATGAGGGCCAGTGACACTGCCCTCTACAGCTAAGATGCTGAACAACAGCTCAACCTGGAGCTGGGCTGCCCTGAGTCGCCGGTGACGGTGTAGGCTGCAGCCCCTGTGGCAGTGGGTTGCCATGGGCTACCGTGTGTAGCCAGCAGCCAGCGTGAGTGGCCAGCAGCCGCAGGGAGCGGCCGTCCAGAAGCCAGGGACTGATGTGCCTCACCCGGGAAGAGTGCAATGATGGTGCCAACTTGGGCCAGTGAAGCAACGTCCTCCACAACTAGACTAAAGAACAAAACGACAACAACTTGTCTGTTCCCCTTCCCCCACTTCCTCAGCACTGTTCCCATCCCCCCAATTCCCCAATAAAAAAAATCTTTAAAAATAAATAAATAAATAAAACAATAAAACAGTGATTGAGCATTTCAAAGGTCAATAACCTTAAAAAAATAAAGAAAGAAAGAATAAGTGTGCAGATTCTTTAAAAACACTACTATTATGAAAGCACCATGTAGGAGCGTTAGACCAGCTGAAGAACAGGGAGGAAATTAAACAGAGGCTATCCAGACAAATTGAACCCGAGCTGAAATAGCTGCCATTTGTGCGGAGTCTAATATGTGTCGGGTCCTGGCATGCGTTTCCTCTCACCTTCCAACAAAGGGCATATGAGTCTCTCTTTTAATAAACGTGGAAACTAAGGTACGGAGACATTCATCCATTTCCTTGCCATTATTTCTTTTTTTACTGCTTTCCTCTTAAAAAAGCTACCAAAATAACTCAACAGACTCGGAGTTAATCTCTCTGATTCCGACTGTCCTGCCCGCTCCTCTATCATGGTCTATTCTCAACACAAGCCCCAGCGATCCTGTTAGAATGTGAGCCAGATCACGCCCCTGCTCTGCTCAAACCTCCCATCCCATCAGAGCTAAGCCACAGCCTGCAGAGGGCCCTGCCCCTGTGGTCCCTGGTCTTGGGCCCCTCCCTCTGCCCCATCACTCTTCTGGCCACTCTGGCCTCCTTACTGTTCCCCCAACACACTGGTCATGTAGCTGCTTCTGGGCCTTTGAACTTGCTGACCCTTCTGCCTGGAATTCTCTTCTCTCAAATGTCCACCTCAATACCTTTGCTTTCATTCAAATGTCACCCTGTGTTAAACTGCAGCCTCTTACACATTCCCCGAGCCCCTCACCTGCTTTAGGTTTTGCTCTAGCACTCAAGAGCACCTAATAATATCTATATTTAACCTATTTTTATTCTTGTTTATCATCTCTTTCCCCACTAGAATGTCACCTCCAAAGGAGCAGAGGTTTTTGTCTGTTTTGTTCACTGCTGTGTCCACAGGTCATGGAGCAGTGGCTGACAAGTAGTAGCACTCAATAAATATGCACTAGATAAATGAGTGAATGCATGAGTGGATGAATGAATGAATGAACATGGTGGCTAAAATTATACAATGGAATAATATCTGTAAAACCCATTTTGAAAGTATATAACACCTAAATATTAGCTGTTTCATACAAAAATTAGTTTCTCTTTTGGTTATCAGTCCATTTGGTATTAGATATTTCAGTGGGTTGGAAACAATTTTGTGCATGTGTTGTCAAAATAGAAAATTTCATTTAAGGTAGACTTTTAAAAGGAGTTCATTAGAATTCAGTTCTGAGAAAACACAGGGCGACCCCTCATTGCGTGAATTTGGACATATCGTGAGTGACAACTCCTCTGTCCCATCTCACCCCTAACATCCCACAAACAGGTATTGGTCATAGGCCCTGATGTCAGATTGTAATGGGTCCACTGTCTGCATTAATAAAGAATTTAGAATATCATTTAACTCATATATTTCTAAATTATTAAAAACCATGGGATTTTTAAAGAGAAGTCATGTTTAATATATATTTAAGTGACTACCAACATAATGATAGGCATTAATATCAAAGCATCCAGCACAAATGGAAGTCTTTAAGTCATTATGTATTATCTCAGATGAAAGTTATTATATGCTACAAATTCAATACAGTTCCACATTATAAACTAACTTTATTTGAAAAATAACATTTTGGCATTACAGAATATCTACTTAAGCACAATCCTTCGCCAAGAATCCTTGTTACAAGATCCAAAGGGATTTGAAGAAAAATTACTTTTGCACTCTTAAAAATTCTTTGACTATTTATATTAATTGAATGCATAAATCTAAAAGTACCAGGCATAAATAAAGGAAATGAAATATTGTAAAGAATGATGACTTATAATTTTAAAAATTAATATGCATGCAAATTGTATTTTGCAAAGCTGCTAGAAAAGGGGAACAGATCTAAGGGTGTCATCTCTAATGGCAGGCAAATTCATGTTATGGCCATCCTCACACTTCTATGAAGTCACTTATTTAGGCTGATGATCTGAAAGGAACAGGTTTCTCTCATTACCAGCAGTAAAAATGATGGCTCCATAAATCACTATGTCTCACCATTTCCTCCAGGAAAATGCTTTGCCTCATCTGCACAACCTCCTGCAATTTGTATTGTGTCAGGCACTTACTTTTCTCTATTGTTTAGTTAGATGGTTTGCCAAGCACAACTTGTTTGGTGTTCTGGATGTCAACGCAACTGGCTTGAACAGAAGCTTCTTGTTTATAAGGGATGAAGTCTGCCTGCTATAAAACAAGCCGAGAGGAAGTGGTTTATTGGTGCCCTTACCTGTATTGGTACAGCAATGCATTTTCAATTCCACATACAGTGGAAGCTTCAGCATGGAAGCTCTTAGCTCACTAAGCATTTTTGATGCTCATAAAAATGGCAGTTTCCTGGGCTACTCCTGCTCATATTGCAAGAATTTTGCACTTACTTTGACTATATGAGGCACTGGATCAAGAGCTATTAAAGGAATGAATGAGAAAGCTCCTGTCAAAAGGCTCTAAGTCAACAAACACTTGTTGAACAGCCATTGTGTTCAGAGCACTTGAGGCTGTTATATGGGTTTGATGAACCTAAAGATTTAAAAAAATTGTTTTAAGTAATTCCACCACTGAATAGGACAATATTTTTAAGATTTTTGGAGTGATTTATAAAGGACTTATTGGGCAGAAATAACTATTCGTGTATATGAACCTGCCTTGCCATGGTAACCGTGCCATGAATTGTATATTCAAATGCCTTAAGCTAATTCTGTACCTTGTGCTTGAATTCAGGTAGTTCAGGTAGAAGGAGGGATTTTTGGTGGGAAGAAAGAAATCAACCAGATTGACTTCAATTTACAGATGTGAAACCTGAGTGTCAGTTACTCTGAAATGTATGTGTATCGATGGCATTTCCAATGAAGGAGTTAATTGGTATCATCATCGGGGTCTGGAAACAATTGGGTAAGGAGCCTAGACTATGTCATGAGCCCCGAGTTTATGGACAGACTATGCCACGAGCAGGGCATGTGACTCAGACGGTTACTTCTCTGGGTCTCAGGCTGTTCCTCTGTAAAATGTGGAACAGCATTTTTACAACAGAAACAAAAAGTGGACAAAGGAATTCTCGGCTTTCTCTCTTCTCGCTCTTCATTTCTAACAGGTGATGTTGGAACGTGCTGATTTCATTACCAACTCCACCATACACTTAGGGGACCTTAGCTAAGCCGCTAAGAATACCTGCACTGATTCTCCACTGCTGGTAAACACAGATAAATGGTGAAGTGATATCCAACATCACTTCCTAACCTAAAAAGCCATAAATTGTGTCCCCCAAATGTAAAATGTCAACTTCACGAGTAACATCATAAGAAACTGAAGCAACCTCAGCATGTCAAACTCTGTAATTATTTTTGTTTTACATAAGGAAATGTGAATAAAGAAGACCATCATTCAGTTGGGCTGGCCGAGTGGCTCAGTTGGTTAAGAGCTCACTCAAGAGCGTGACCTCTGAGCAACAGCGGTTCGAGTCCCAGCCCAAGCTGAGCAGCCGCTGAGCTGCCAACAGGTAGCAGGATGGCTCAGCTAAAAAAAAAAAAAAAAAAAAAAAAGAAGACCATCAGTCATATGGGGAGAGTAGAATCATTGTTATATCTTTTGAGCCCTCAACTGTACTGAAATCTAGAATCCAGGGTGCCAGCTATTCACCCTTTTAGTAAATATTTACTGCGTATCTAGGAACACTGTCAGATGAGCCCAGACAGTAGAAACTCTTGTCCAGTTGCTCTTTTCTCTGTGCATCCACCTCTGTTCCCAGCCAGATACTTCTAGTGCCTTAATTGCCTCCTCTTACCCAACCCAAGCTCGCAGCATCACTCCCCTTCTTTAAAAATGTTCACCATCTCCAAATGCTCACCAGAAGAAATCCAAACTCCATCAGAAAACTCAGTGCCTTCATGACAATCCACGAGTCTACTGAGCATGAAGTTGCATCAACTTAGAACTCTAATCACTTAAACAAAAAATAGAGAGTTAGAAAGAAAAACAAACAAAACCAGGAACCTTTTCAGGTGAAAATATATCTGTAAAAAGATTAATTACATGTCTTTAGGGTAGTTGAAATAAGAGTGGCTTGTCTATGAAAGAAGAATAATAGCTAATATTTATTGAACATTGAATATGTGCCTAGGACTGTTCTAAGTACTTTGCATAGAGTATCTCATTTAATCTTTTCATGCTGACTGTGAAGTACATATCATTCTGTAGATGAGGAAACTGAGTCACAGAGAGGCGAAACAACTTGTCCACGGTCACGCAGTTAATAGTTGGTGGAGCTGAAATTCAAGTTCAGGCAGTCTGACTTCACTACACTATTACCAACCGCTCTTTGCGCAGTATACCTAGGCTGGAAAACTGGCTTCCCCTCCAGGAGACTTGCCAAGACACATTTAGAGGGACAAGAAGTTCTCTGTACCACATTAGTGCACATCTTGGGAGTGTATGTCCCACATGTCAAGCTATAAAGCTGGAGCAAATCCACTTGAGAGAATGGTAATTATTTTATGCCCTCATTATCTTGTTTTTTAAATTTTAAAGAATTCTCAACAATGTTTGTTCTGAGACATTATTCATGGTAAATTCTCTTTGCTATGGTAAAGGCATTTACTTTGATTATATAAACAGAGTAACAAGAGACCTGCTTAATGAAGCTGACTTTAAAATATGTAGAAATTTCTTTTTTTTTCTTCCTGAAAATAGTTTAACACACCACTTGTCTGCTCCTATCTCCATAGGGTGCTAAATAGTTCAAGAACTCCGTGTAAGAGCACTGTTGAGAGCAAAACAACTTTGTAAATGAAAACAGGCTGCTATTTCTTGGCAACTCTATTGTTCAACTTCCCAACAATTGCATTAAGTTGATTAGAACTGAACGCCTGATCCCGTATTAAAGGATTTCTTCCTGCAATCCATCAATACACCCACTCTAGATAAGACTTTACATATTATCTAGACCTGTGGTGCCTGTTGAGTTCACTGGACACAGTGTCAATAGCTCATGTGTCTAAAAATTAGTGATTTCTCGTGTCACGTTTAAAAGTAAGAGGTGAAAGAGAATGCCACCGTCATTTTGAGAAACTGAGTGTACAGCCTTCCTCATGAACGTATTTTTTCTATATTTTTCCGTTGCAAAAATGCATCACACTTTTCCGACAACCCAATATATGGCCTTCACTAGCATTAACCATTGGGGTAAAGCGTTCAGGGAAAACAATCCCTAAGTAGGTAATGGGCACTTGAGAGCTGGGAGGGACATTTATATGACCTCTGACCTTCTCTACTTGGGGAGGACAATTCTCTACTCCTGCTAGTCTGACTTAGTTTTTTGACAACCTTTAAAAAGAAACTCATAAACTAAAAGGTGAATAGAAGTTTTGTTAAACTCCCGATAAACACAAAGGTTAAGAGTGACAAAATAAAAATGGATTTTCAACAAAAAATAAAAGGCTAGAGCCAATGAGCTGAAAGGTTGCAATTTTTTTTTAATATACAAAAGGTTAAGATACCAGGCTAACACTCATGAGATGAAATATTTAAAATCGTCTGGCAGATTTGATCAAGAGTCGAGCAAGAAAGCACTTAAAAATGAAAATGGTGCACTAAGGAAAGAAAACAATACGAAAACGTATATGCTTTTAAAATGATAAAAAGCAGAAAGCGCCGAGATTAGGGAGGCAAAGGAGAAACAGGAAAAGAGGAAGGACAGCATTCGAGGGAAAAGCCTCCTAGAAGCAAACTAAGAAGAAGTATTGGATTTCTGAGCACTCCAGTGTCATTGGCATCATGAGGCATTGGAGACTGAGAGCAGTTCAAAACTGCCCACGATTATTCATAGCCTCGAATCTCACCCAGCACCCAGGCAGAGCAGGGGCTCCCTGCTGCTGTAACTAAGAATCTCTAGGACCACACAGCCCCTTCCAACATGGCCGCAGAAACTCCGCACGTCACTGCTCTCTCCGCTTCATCGGGCAACTTGACTGGCTGTGGGCGAGCCTGTTTTCTCAGTTAGAAAGACCTGAGTTATGTTCCACTCGACTCCTTATTGACTGTGTGACTTTGGCAAGTTTCTCAACCTCTCTGAGTCCCAATACCTTATCTAAGTTGGAAAAATGACAAATAACACTTATAATAGCAATTCATCTGTCTCATTGATAGGATTTTTATCATTTTACTTCTATAGATAGTCCCTGCCAAGCACTAAGCAAGTTCCAGATGTGTTGCACTTAATCGTCACACCCATCTATGCTACTGTCACTCATCCCAGTGACAGTAGCATCATCCCACACGCCCATGTGTTTAGAGCATTGCCAGCCAGAAACTTCGAGAATGTCTGTCATCAGTGGCCTCTATGTAGGTAGCTCACTCCTATGAATCTCAAATTATAATCCTCTACTGAAAGAAAGTGGGCCGCTGGAAAGAAAGCACAAGTTAAAAGAGACAGAGTAAATTTTCCCAAATAGGAGGCTTGGATATACTATATAATGTTTATGTAGGATATTGAAACACTGACTTAACGATACTCCCTTTTCAACATTTCAGACTCTACAACATATGCACATTTTCTGTTCAATGCATTTGATACGGACCACAATGGAGCTGTGAGTTTTGAGGTAAGTCTTAGACTTTTTTTGTATTGTGATTTGACTTTAGACACTGAAAGGGAATCAGTCTTTATAGTGGGAAATTTTGAGTTTGATGGTTTAAATTTTTTTTTCTCTTTGATCTTTGTATTCTTTTTTATGGTTGTGGTAAACACATTCAACATGAGATCTACTCTCTTAGCAAATTTTTGAGTGTGCAATACATTATTGCTGAATGCAGGTACTGTGTTGTACAGCAGATTTCCAGAACTTGGCCATCTTGCTTAATTGAAACTTGATGCCTGATTATTAGTAACTCCCCGTGTCCCTCTCCCGTAGCCACCATTCCACACTTTGATTCTATGAATTTGACTATTTTGGATACATCATGTAAGTGGAATCATGCAATATTTGCCTATCTATGGTGGTTCATTTCATTTAGCATGGTGCCTTCAAGGTTCATCCATGGAGTAGCATAGTGCAGAATTTCCCATTTCTTCTTAAGGACGAATAGTATTCTATTGTACGCATATTTCACATTTTCTTTATCCATTCATCCATCCATGAACATGTAGGTTTTTTCACATCTTGACTACTGTGAATAGAACTGCAATGAACATGAGAGGGCTAGTATGTCTTCGAAATCCCGATTTCAAATCTTTTGGATAAATATTAGGGAGTAGGATTGCTGGATCATGTGGTAGTTCTATTTTTAATTTTTTGAAGAACCTCCATACTGTTTTCCATAGTAGCTGCATTCCTACAAACAGTGTGCAAGTGTGTTCATTCCTCCATGTCCTCATCATAACTTATCATCTTTCAGGTTTTTTATTATAGCCATCCTAATACGTGTGAGATGATATCTTATGGTGGTTTTGATTTGCATTTCACTGATGATTAGTTACACTGAACAATGCTTCATGTACCTGTTGGCTGTTTGTATATCTACTCCAGAGAAATGCCTGTTCAAGCCCTCAGAGCATTTTTTAAATTGGGTTATTCGATTTTTTTTTCTATTGAGTTATAGGTGTTTCTTATACACTTTGGAGATAACACATTATCAGATATATGGCTTCCAAATATTTTCTCCCATTCCATAGGTTGCTTTTTCACTTTGTTGATTGTCTCCTTTGTTTCACAGAAGCTTTTTAGTTTAATGTAATTCAGTTTATTGATTGATTGATTGATTGTTGCCTGTGCTTTTGGTGTCATATTCATGAAATCATTGCTAAGGCCAATGTCATAAAGTTTCCCCCCTATGTTTACTTCTAAGAGTTTTATGGTTTCAAGTTTTAATCTATTTTGAATGATAATTGTGGATAGTAATAAGGATCTAATTTCATTCTTTTGGGTGTGGATATCCAGTTTTCCTAACACATTTGTTGAAGAGACTATCCTTTCACTTTCCATTGTGCATTCTTGACACCCTTGTCAAAGATCAGTTGACCGGATATGCATGGATATATTTCTGAGCTCCCTACTCTGTTTCATTGGTCTATGTCTGTCTTTATGCTAGGACCATGCTATGTTGATTACTATAGCTTTGTAATATATTTTGAAATCAGGAAGTGTGATGCCTCAAGCTTTGTTCCTCTTTCTCAGGATTTATTTGAATAATTGTGGTCTTTTGTGGTTCCCTATGAATTGTAGAATTGTTTTTATCTATAAAAAATGCCTTTGGCATTTTGACAGGGATTGCATTGAATCTGCAGACAGCTTTGGGTAGTATGAATATTTTAACAATATTAAGCCTTGCAATCCAAGTAACTCTCCATTTGTTTGTGTCTTCTTTAATTTCTTTCATCAACATTTTGTAGTTTTTGATATACAAGTTTTTCACCTCCTTAAAGTTTTTTTCTAAGTATTTATTCTAATTATTTTGGTGCTATTGTAAATGGGATTGTTTTTCTAATTTCCTTTTTTATATACTACATTGTTGGTATACAGAATGCAACTGATTTTTGAATGTTGATTTTGTATCTTGCAACTTTACTGAATTTGTTTATTCTAGCAGTTTTTTGTTTTTGGTGGAGTCTTTAGGATCTTCTACATATAAGATCATGTCATCTGATTTTTTTTTCTTGCCTAATTACTCTGGCTAGCACTTCCTGTACTATGTTGAATAGAAGAGGCAAGCATGAGCATCCTTGTCTTGCTCCTGATCTTAGAGGGAAAGCTTTCTTTCAGTCTTTCATCATGCTTGATGTTAGCTGTGGGCTTTTTATATATGGCCTTTATTATGTTGAGGTACTTTCCTTCTATTCCTAGTTTATTGAGAGTTTTTATCATGAACATATGTCGAACTTGGTCAAAGACCGTTTCTACATCTATTGGGATGGTCAGGTGCTTCTTATCCTTTATGCTGTTAATGTGGTATGTCACATTTATTGATTTTCATACGTTGGACCATCTGTCTATACCAGAGATCAATCCTACTTGGTTATGGTATGTGATCCTTTTAATGTGCTGTTGGATGTGGTTTGCTAATTATTTTGTTGAGGATTTTTGCATTTATATTTATCTGGAATATTGACTTGTAGTCTTCTTTTCTTGTGAGTCTTTGTCTGGCTCTAGTACCAGGATACTGCTGGCCTCATAAATGCGTTTGGAAGTATTCTTCTTTAACAATTTTTTGGAAGAGTTTGCAAAGATTGGTGTTAGTTTTTTAAATATTTGGCAGAAATCACCAGTGAAGCCATCTGGTCCTGGGCTTTACTTTGTTGGGAGGTTTTTGATTACTGATTTAATATCTGAGTTACAGCCCTGTGCAGGCTTTTTTTGTTGTTTTTCTTCCTGACTCAGTTCTGATAAGCTGTATTTCTAAGAATTTACCCATTTTTTTTCTAGACTATCCAGTCTGTTTGCATAGAATTATTTATATGTCTCTTTTGAGTATTTTTATTTCTGAGGTATCAGTTGTAATGTCTCCTCTTTTATTTCAGATGTATTTATTTGTTTCTTCTCTCTTTTTTTCTTAGTCTAGCTAAGAGTTTGTTAATTTTGTTTATCTTATTTTTTCAAAACACCAACTCTTAGTTTCATTGATTTTTTTTCTGTTTTTCTAGTCTCTATTTCATTTCTTTCTGCTCCGATCTTTGTTATTTTCTTTCTTCTGCTAATTGTAAGCTTCGTCTGTTCTTTTGTTACCTCCTTGAAGTGTAAAGTTACATTGTTTGAGATATGCCTTCATTGTTAATGTTGGCATTTATTGCTATAAATTTCCATCTTAGTACTGTTTAGTAATTTTTAAGCAGGTGGGGGGAAAAGCTCAGGAATGGTTCCTTGACCTCATTATATTGTCACAAAGCTGTACTTATCTTTCAAAAGAGGTGAAAATTACAACACACATTTAATTTGCTTTCTAGTACTATTTATCTGTTTGTACAAGTAAATTACATTTCCCCAATTACATGACAACAATCCCAGAAAGTTAACAATTTAACTACCATTTATTGGCATCGGCTGTGGCCCAATAACTGTGGTAGGCCTTGGAAATACAAAGCTGATAAAGTCAAAACCCTACCTTTGAAGGCTCAGTAAATAGGGGAGATAGGAATGAAATTATATGTAGCAAAATGCTACATTCAGCTGCATAACAATTTATATATATATATATATATATGTAATAAATAGTATATACAAGTATATAGTATATTCAGATGATAAGTAGCATGCCATAGATAATAATATATTTAAGTCTAAATGTTAGGAGAATAAACCAAACACTAACTCTGATCATCTGTGACTGTTGCCTTTTATTTTTGTTAGGAAAACTATGGGTAGAATGTATAACTTATCTATTTGCTTATATTCTGAATAGCAGTGCTTGGTCTCTAGGGAATAGAATGATTTATTAGTTTACCTTATAATTAGTTCTGTTTTCTTTCTTTGATATATGTATGATATTGTGACTAATGATACACACACACACACACACATACACACACATACACAAACACAAACACACACATATATTTGGTCTTAGTCCCCAGTTTCTGGCACAGAGCTAAAACACACAGTTTTAAGTGTTGAGAGCAATAAACATGTCTTTTGTTATGTTAATGAGGTTGTTTTTTTGTTATTTAACTTATTTCTTTTTAATTTTTGTTTCTTTCAGTTACAGTTGACATTCAATATTATATTTCAGGTGTATAGCATAGTGGCTGGACATTTATATAACTTACAAAGTGATCCCCCTGATAAGAAGTATAGTACCCAACTGGTACCATATACAATTATTACAATATTATTGATTATATTCCTTATGCTGTACTTTGCATCCCCATGACTATTTTGTAACTACGAATTTGTACTTATTTTTTTTACATCTTTTTTTATTAGTTTCAGGCATATAAAACAATGTGATAGATAGACATTTACACCCTTCACAAAGTGATAACCCCCTCCCCCAATCTACCACCCCTCTGACATTGAATATAGCTGTTACAATGTCATTGACTATATTCCCTATGCTGGGATGTGGAATGAGGTAACTTTTGACCTCACCTAAGGATGGGGGCTGATTTCCCAAAGAATCAACCATGTGATTAGACGGTTGAAACTTTCAGTCCCACCCCGCTGACCCGTGGGGAGAGAACAGAGGCTGGAGGTTGAGTTTAATCACCAAGAGCCAATGATGTAATCAACCATGCCTATGTAATGAAGTCCTCATTAAAACCCAAAAGGCCAGGGCTCAAAGAGCTTCCAGATTGGTGAACATGTGGAGATTTGGGGAGAGCGATGTGATCTGAGAGGTCATGGAAGCTTCGTGACCCTTCCCACATACTTTGCCCTATGTGTCTCTTCTATCTGGCTTCCTAAAGTATATCCTTTTATAACAAACCAGTAATCTACAATAGTAAGTAAAATATTTCTCTGAAGGGGCCGGCTGAGTGGCTCAGTTGGTTAAGAGTGCGAGTTCTGAACAACAACAGGGTCGCCAGTTCGATTCCCACATGGGCCAGTGAGCTGCACCCAAGCTGAGCTGCCACTGAGCTGCCAATGGGTGGCAGGATGGCTCAGCTGGTGAG